CTGCTCAACTGGATCAAAAGGCTCACTGCTTCTGGTACTGATTTGGTCTTGCCCACTTTCAGAGGCATCTCCAGGAATTACATTCCCCCTTTTCTACACACAGTGAAGTGTTAGCACCTGCGTTCTACATTTAGGAGAAGATTAGCGTCTTGTCCAAAATTAGAAGCCTTCTGACTTTTGGGTCAGATACAGGGTGAGGTCTCAGACATTTATGGCACCAAGAACCAGTCCTTCTCCATCACCATAGGTTTTTAGTACAAGTCAGCCTTGCTAGAGGCCTCACAAAGAGGGCAGGCAATAACTTTTTTTTCACAGAAACATAGAATGGTTTGGGTTGGAAGACATGTTAAAGATCACCTAGTTCCAACCCCCCTGCCACGGTCAGGGCCCCCTTCCCCCAGCCCAGGGTGCTCCCAGCCCCGTCCAACCTGGGCTTGAACCCTCCCAGGGAGGGGGCAGCCACAGCTGCTCTGGGCACCCTGGGCCAGCGCCTCACCCCCCCCTCACAGGGAGGAATTTCTTCCTTATATCTAATCTAAATCTACCCTCTTTCAGTTTAAAACTGCTACCCCCTTGTCCTATCCCCATCCACCCTGATCAAGAGTCCCTCCCCACTTTCCCTGTCCCCCCTTTAAGCCCTGGGAGGCTGCTCTAAGCTCTCCCCCAATCCTTCCCTTCTCCAGGCTGACCCCCCCAGCTCTCTCAGCCCGGCCTCACAGGGAGCTGCTCCAGCCCCCCCAGCATCTTCGTGGCCTCCTCTGGCCCCGCTCGAGCAGCTCCGTGTCCTTCTGATGTTGGGGGCCCCAGAGCTGGACCCAGCACTGCAGGGGGGGTCTCACCAGAGCGGAGCAGAGGGGGAGAATCCCCTCCCTGGCCCTGCTGGCCACACTTCTCTTGATGGAGCCCAAGATGTGGTTGGCTTTCTGGGCTGCAAGCGCACAGTGCTGGCTCGTATTCAGTTCATCTTTTCATCTTTTGCTTTGTGATGAGCAGGGTACAAATTTGATCAAAATGATGTGGCAAGCTATTCACTTCTCTTCTTGGCGCAGATGAACTACAGCTCCATGTTACCCGCAGGTGTTCATTGGAACTGGTGTAAGGAGATGGATTTTGATACTAGCCTTTATTAGAGAAAACAATATGAATACATACATTGATCCATGGAAATCATATCTTTATTTGAGAGCAGGTCTGGAGAATTACAGGTTTTGCAAATTAAAATTTTTTTTCTATGTTTGGGTGATGAAAAAAGAAACTGCAGAGGCTGAGTCAGAGTGCAAAGATCAATTGTATCTAGAGTTCAAAATCCTATAGAGTGTGACTGATACTATCAGTTTTCTCCTACTGTGGATAATTCTGCTGATTTCTCAGGGAACAATTCACAGCAGCAAAGCTAAACATGGTCTAGAGGGCTGGAAACCACCTCTCAGATTCTGTCTGCTCCCCTTACTATGCAACCAGGATTCCCACCAGGAAGGTAGTCTCAGGGTCTATGACCTGTTCACAAGAAATTATAGGCTGCTTGGCAGGTGATTTGCCTTTGAAACTGCAGTTCACTGCTGACTTGCCAGTTGGTTTGAGCGCTGCACACCCTAAGGCCATGTTTTGGAAGAATATCCTTATCGGATAGGCAATTGGAGCAACTTAGTCCAATGTGTTTTGTGAAATGCTGATATTCTCAAAGAAATGACATTTCCCAGAAAGAAGGTGCTGTTCAAGTGAACTTGTTAAGAAACCTAAACTTGATTCCGTAATCTTTATTTACATTATTTATACATAATATTTTCAAGCTGTGTGTAATGATATGCTTTGTAAGGTGCTACCTGTATCATTGTGTATGTAGAAAACTTCAATAAAAATGTTTTGCTTCACAATCTTTGTATGGAAGATTTCAAATTATTTATTTTTTGTCTCTGTCCAGTAATACTAGTTTCAAAGTCTCTGGAACTATTGTCCTTTCAAGAGAATAATCAAGAGAATAAGATTTCTTGGGGAAGGACCATTTTATTATCCACTGATTAGCTTTTGGACTTTTTTCATTGTTACTTGTCACTGTCCTTTAGAGAACACATGTCTGAAGCCATACAGACAAAGCTTTGTTTCTTTTTCTTGTTGAATTATTCCTATAGCTTCCATCTGGATTACTTAGGTTTACTGTATAATGCAATGTAAATCAGAATCTTCTTCTTAACTGTGGTATCCTAAGTACTTAACAGCATACATCTGCAGAGAGCCTGTTGCTCTGCAGCCCCAATCTCGCATGGTGGAAGTGGGTGAGAGTTTTGTAACTGAGTTCAGGGGTTTCCAGATGGAGCCCTGAGTGCAGTTACCTTACTGGGGACCTGGGATTCCAAGAATGGCTCATATCTCTAAGAAGAGACATTGTACAACTTCTGCAGGTTATGCAAATCATGCATTTCCCCTTTTCCTTCTCTTCTGATGAGTCACCAAACCTTCTCCTGACACTGAAAACAACTGAAAAGATGTTTCTTAGAGTGTAAGGAGATGAGGGACTATGCCTATGGTATTCTCTATATAGAGTTCAGAGGCAGAGAGGATTGTCAGCATGTCTTGCATCTCTGCTGTCCCATTACTGACTTTACCCCAGTCATTTTGTATTTTATTCTTGCTATTGTCAATGCAGATTATAATTTAGAATCTAACAATTACGTTTTAACATGCTAAAGCATTCTGCATGGCCTCTTTGCAGGATCAGTCCCTATTCCCTAGCTGAATCCTGACAGTGGATTTTGCCAACATGCAGCTTCAAATCTGCTGTGGAAGCTGTAGTAAAACATGTAAAATACACTTCCACCAGGTCATACTTGTTTCATTGAGAGAAATGTCAGTGCAGCTCTGGAGCAGGCCTGCACAACACACAGGAACTACAGGAGCATGTTCTCAAGTTTAAGCTAAAGAAATGTTAAGAACAATATAAAATTTATGATTTTGGTATTAAACTGAAGAGATTGAAACAGGACAAACGAGAACAATGAAGAATCAGGGCACCCCACCAGGTCTGAGGAGGCTGATTTAGGTTGCTTCTTCAGGCACTGTAAGGGTCTGTAGGCCAAGATAATTTGAGGAAATTCACTACAAATTCTATGCTGCAATAACCAACCAAAACCAATCATCACCTGTCACCTGCATTTGATCTTCTGAAATCTCTTATGACACCTGTCTGAAGCTGTGTAGAATAGCAGGAAATTTAACTTCTAAGATGAGAAGAGTGTATTCAAACATGCAACCTTTCTGTCCTGAAATGAGGAAGCTTTAAGCAGTTTTTGGTGAAGTATTTGCCATTGTCTTTGGCATGAGATCTCTTTTTTTCTATGGGCACGCTTATTTTTCAAAATAATGAAGAAACAAAAATCACCAAGCAGTGCAACTTCTGTGCCAAAAAGGCTTGATTATCACAGGACTCTGAAAAAGACATAAGTTCCCCTTTTTGATAATTTGATCATTGTCCTTTTCTGACCAGAACTTTCCTCCTTTGTGATACTTCTCAGTTTTGCTTTCAAAGTATCCACTGTAGGAAGCCAGGAAGAAACCTAATAATTTGGTTTGTGGATGTGTTTGAAGGAGAAGAAAATATCTCCTATGTCAAAGCAAATTTTTCAGAAATTTCCCTAGTGCTCTGGGCTTTCAGATTAATGCACAGAATTTGACATCTAAGCCTGTAGTTGTTGGCTGGCTGTTGGGGAGAAAAAACATATAGCAGCAGGGATCTTCTGTATCTTTTCTCCCTTTGCTATAATGGAGAAATTTGCTCCCATGATTTCTTTTGGTCAGATAATTCTTTCATTTGGGTTTTGTGTGTACAGAACAGTTTATAAAAATACAACTTTTTATCCACAGTCTTCATAAAACAGAACTTAACTGCATATACAAGGCATTACTTTGGGGTCTTTCCTCTTCTTTCAGTACTGTTTGGAACAGAAAGGTTGCTAAGGCAGAATCTTAAAGGAGTCATGATTATTTCTGCTATGGTTTGTATATATGTATTGTGGTAGAGCAGTAAACCCCCTTTTTTTGACATGATTTTGTCTTGATTTTCCTATTGCTGGCTCACTGATGATAAACCAGCTGATTAACATGTTGTTTAATTTTCTTTTGTCTTTTTGTTCTTAAAAGTCTTTGTAACAATGTACAAACCCCCAGTAACAAAGGCTGATTTTGCAAACCATGGCAAAAATTTATTCTGAGGGTTTTTTCCAGGGTAACACTGAAACCTTTCTGTATATTTGATATTCTTCAACACATACTGTGGGCAAATTAGTATGTTTTTTCAGACTGTGATATTCTTTCAATAAGAAATTATTTCTGCTCTTTTTGATACGGAGAATTTAATCTGTTGGCCACAACATCAGACCAAAGACAAAACGGGTCTTTTGATCTTTTGTTTACTGTATAGATCAGGGGTTTGAAGGGCTGTGGCTAAAATACTGCAGCACCTGAGGACAGAGGTACTTTGCTTCAGATGTTATGAATTAAAAGCTGATGTATTTTTAAATTGGTTTGCTCACTGCAACCAGTGAGTAAACTGTGCTCCATGTTGGTCAGGCTTTCCCATTTTTATCGCAGTGGGAATCTTCTCCCTGACAGCTCCCTTTTCCTGCAGAGGGACTTGTTAATTTGGGAGGCCAGGGAGCTATTCTGCTGGAAGTGGTAGATGCCTTCAAGGCAATGGTTCACTATGAGAATCTTTGCTGCCTTTAAACTCGGGAAATTTGGAAAAGCTGGGGGTCAAACAGAGGTGATGAAACTGGCTTTGCACATGCTGAATGCTCTGCTCTCATCAGCTCATCACTGACGTCAGTTAATCGCTGTCACCCCACTGCTCCTGATGCTGTGGCTGAATGGTGTTTGGTGTCTTAGTGATGCACTGGAGTAGTTTTGCAGTATGCAGACATCTTCTGCTTTACCCGCAGCCACAAGAAATTTGGCAAATAACTCTAGTTTCCCCAAGGACTTGATTTTCTATTTCTTTCTGCTTCTAGGTGTCAGTCAGTCTCTCCACCGCCTCTTTTGTCCCCACGAAGAAGTCCAGCCTACCCCCTCAGCGATAGTGAGGACTCTTGCCGCTCTTCTCGACTCACCAAAGTCTCCGGCTCCAGACTGCGCCTCAAGGACTGGAGCAGCCGCACATCTACGCTGCGAAGCACCTCCACGAGCCCATCGGACACTGACTCCCCAAGCCACCCTCTAAAAGCCATCAGTGTGGGTGCTTTGGATAAAAGACTGTCTGTATTCAAGGCTGAGGACCAAAAGGAGGGTCCAAAGGAGGCTCAAGATGGAGACACGATAGGGAGCCATCCTCTCGCCCGGAGCACTCTGTCGTTGGGCACTGCCACCAACTTGAGGAACCTCTCCCTCAGCCGGGCGAGTGTCCGCTCCCAGGCACTGGACATCAGGCAGAAGATCACAGAATGGGAGTGCCGTCGGGAGCCGTCCCCGCGGCTGAGCACGTGTGTGGACAAGAGGGATGCTGGGGAGAGGTCAGGCAGTGAGAGCTGCCCCAGCGTGCTGACCTCTCCCTGCAGCGAGAAGACGTTCGATTTCAAAGGGCTCAGGAGAATGAGCCGAACGTTTTCTGAGTGCTCTTACCCAGAAACGGAGGAGGAGGAACTGCAGGACAGGGATTCCTGCCATCGATTTGAAAAGAGACCAGGCAGGAGCGAGCCTCCTTCTGCTGCATTCCTCAAGGGCCATGTGAGGAAAGAGTCCTCTGCTGTGCTCAACAGAATACAGAAGATCGAGCAGGCACTGAAAGAGCAGCCGGGCAGAGGCCTCCCCCAGTTACCGAGTAGCTGTTACAGTGTTGACAAAGGGAGAAAAAAGTCTGTGACTCTGAGTACTGTGGAGGGACTGAGTGAAACCCTAAGTGATAGCAAAGGAGGGAGTGTTATTTTGGGGAGTGAACCAGAAACACCTACAGAGGCTGAGAAAAGCAGTAAGACAAAACAGGGGGTTCCTGGAAACTCGGCTGACCCTAAACTGCTGCTTGAAAGCCCAGCTAACACCGCGGTGAACCCTGTCCCCAAGCCCAAACGCACCTTTGAATACGAAGCAGACAAAAACCACAAAAGTAAACCAAGCAATGGCCTACCTCCATCACCTACACCTGCTGCTCCTCCTCCCCTCCCGTCCACCCCTGCACCCCCTGTGACCAGAAGGCAGAAGAAAGACTCGCGCTTTCACAGAAAATCCCAGAATAGGTAAAATTCAAGGAAATGTCTTGTAGTCAATCTTCAAATAAATAAATGTGCTGTATTTTAAATTAATAATGTTTTAAATTCTCCCTCTAATGCAATGCTTTTGACCTGAGAAGTGCTAGGAATTGCATGTAAGACAACTATTTTTTCTGCTGGACTGAACTGATACAATACCTTTACCTGGCTACAGTTTTGGAGTTCTCCAACCTGCATTCCTCAATCCCTGGAAAAGGCTCTAGATCATGTGTGCTAAAGGGTATCTTGCTCATTTTGGCACATAAGCCCTTACTTGATATTTTTAATGGAACATAATTTCATTATCCTCCAGTAGCGGGACAATAGCTGTTTTGTTATAGTTCTGTCTGCCTGTTCACTGCAAAACATACCTGTGGAGAGTTTGTGTTTCCAAAGCTTGTTATCACAGCAGTTTTGTCGGTTTTATACAATGTTGATGATTTTATTTGACTTAGTGCTTAGAAATGTTGTCCTAAGTTACTGTCAGCAGCTGTAGAGGATTAATGCTGAGAAAACTACATTTTAGCATAGAAAGGCCTTTATATCCTTCCAGAGTTGGTGATGAGCAGAGTATATGGCGATGTTTCCACAGTAGTCTGTGGAGCTTGGCTTGATTTAATTACATGATTCCTCTTGAGTTTTGGAAATGGTAAAACTCATTCTGCTCAGTGCTTAGAAAATTGTAGGCATAGCTGTTGATAAGCATTCAAAGTATGGCGTTTTTAACAAGTTCACCTATCTGTGCATGTGTATGATACACATTCCTGATATTTAGTGATGAGCTTTGCAAGTAACTGCTAAATGGCATCTCAAACACACACTATCAATTCAGCATCCGGTGCTTGATGTTGGCTCAATTAATTAAAAGTTTATGTCAGCACAACCTGACCTTGAAGTATGCTGGGGCAGGAAAAGGAGAAGAGGAGCCTTTGGATTCTGCTCTTTACTTTCAAGAGACACCTGCTTCTGAAATGGATCAAACAGCTCTGCTGATGTGCATTGTTTCTCTGAGAAAGGGGGCGGGGAGGGAAGGTGGAAAGCCAAGCTCAGATTAACAGTGTTTATCTTTGAGCTCTGGCAATAATTTCAGATAGAGGAAGTAAATCTAGTTTTTAACAAGAATTTGTGAGATAAAGTTGACCTCATTTTGTTCAGCATGGCATTTCCAATATACAGAAGACAAACAACAATTTTTAAATGTTCAGCTATAAATCATAGCCTTTATTGGAAAATTAAGGTACAAGTAATAAAATGATCTGTAGTGGGTGGTGAAGAGGAATGAATAACAGCAGATAATTCTTGCACAGACTCACTGCGTGTCCTGTGGTTAAGTGATCCAAGTCAGTCTTTGAAAACACACTCACACTGAGTTTGAGACCATACAAGTCACCTAAGAATCACAGTATTTTGTTACAATGAGTTTGTGAGATGAAGTTTTGAAACCTCTTTCGAGGAGAGGTACGATTCATGCTTGCGCCTACTGTTCTGCAGGTCTCTAACTCCCATCAGAGCAGTGTTAGACAACAGCACGGCTCAGCAATGGAGCTTCAGTTCTGGGTGGGGCTAGTAGGTATGAGCCCAAAACAAAAGCAGTATTTAGCAGTTTAAGATGTGATTAGTGGAATATAAATTGTAGGATTTACAGCGTTATCATGTGTACCTGATGATTCTTGCAAACCAGACTGAAATTGTACAGGGTGGGTTTCCATTTGTTTGTAACAGCTTTACCCTACTGTAGTTTAGTGATTTCTCTGGACTTACCTCTAATTAATGATAATCTAAGTAAGTTTAAATCAACCTCCCAAATTCACAGGTTTGCCAGCTGACTTCAAGGCTGGGTGGAAAAGCTTTACAAAATCTTAACTTTCTTGTCTTTGCTACTGTCCTGCCTTTAGTTATAGTAAGGAGAATTCCAGCATTTACAAAGACCTTGAGACCATACAAATCTAACAATTACAGTATTCTGTTAATATTGGTTAAAGAACTCTCAGTCTCTAAACTGTTCTGGTTTTGAGAGCAGACATCATTCATTATGTCTACAGCTTGTAGCTGTGTGTTTCAGATTGAACATATGTGTAGTTTGCACTCACTGGAATGTCATGAGAATGGATAGTGGATGATTTTTCTTCTAATATTTTGGTTAAAACACTGGTTTTCTTTGTGGTGGCTAATTCAACATTATAGTAAAATGGAGGGAGTCTCTCATATTTGCTTGCTGGCATAGAGCCGATCTGTGTTCAGAGGACCTGGTGCCCATGGTGCTTTTACATTTCAGATTGGTGTGAGCTGGACGTTCCCTAGCAGTTGGAGATCCTCTGGCACAGGCGCAGCATGGGAAAGGAGCGCCACAGGAGAGGCTTGGGACACGTGGGCTGCCCCTGAGTGCTGGTCCACAAAACCATTCCCATGGTCTTATGCAGTGTTACTGCATTGTAGCATTGCCTTGAAATCTGTAAGAGTTGGATATTTAACTACTTTAGAAAGTTTCATTTCATATATAGGTATGTCTTCAGTGTGTAAGCATCTTTTATAACTGCGACTAGGTGTGGAGGAGCAGCTGTCTGGATCTGAAATGCATGGCTTGTTTCTGCCACGATCTGGATGTACTTACATGGGCCTGGATATTCTTAAGATTAGGGAAAGGAGAGAGAGGGGCTCCTAAGCCTGACCCAGACCCGTAAGTCTGCTCCAGCAGACAAATAGGAAATGCTCTTGTCAAATGCAGTGTCTGTACGATAGTCCCTGTGTTGCCTGCAGGGATACTCTTGAGCCAATTAACAGTCTCTCATGAGACTCTGCCACTGCCATGTGGATATGCTATCAACGGATGTTTCACTCCAGCTGGGGAGAAGAGGGAAGGGGGTTGATGGCAGGATGATTTACTGTTAATCTAGTTTGGGTATCAGTGAGTGAAGTGCAGCCATCAGCACCATCTCTGCAAGCCCTACAGCACACTGGGGTTTACGCTCTGACCTGAGTCCATTTTTCATACCATTTTATCCACAGCAGTAAATCAATCAAATCAATGCTATCCCCTGAACAGCTGGCAATGCAAACCATGCACCTCCCAACTTCAGTGTAGATATTGTCCCAGAGAACGAGTGCTGGGCAAACTGGAGATTGGGGAGGGCTGGGGCTCCTCTTCCCCTAGAGCTGCTCAGCAGCACTGGGGCAGGTGTGGGTGAGAGGCGGCGAATCCCTCTTCCTTCGAGTACCCAGCTGGGAGGCAGTTGTATCTGTTCATCTGACCCAGGCCCCCCCCCACCTTTCCTGACAGAAAGCCCGAACCTTCAGGTCCCCAGCCATCAGCCTGGGTGGCTCATCCACCCCAGATAGCCTTAATTTCCTCAATGCTTTGTTCTTTGCTGCCAGTGGTTGACACTGGGTGTGCAAAGAAAACGGTGACTTTCACACAATTCTGCCTTTGGCATTCATCTGCTGACCTTTATGTGGGAACATATCTGAAGGTTCAAGACATGCGAGTGTTTTCAAACTAAGGGCTACGTCTCCCAGAGCAACCGGTGGAGGAATGCTTTCCAAAGAAATGTCTTCCTCGAGGAGAGAGGATCATGTGCTTCTGGGGCTCCTGGCAAAAGCAAAGCAATTTCTAATCTGAGGACTGTGCTGCTAACTTACTTTGTAACTTTTGAAAAATATCACATACTTTCTTGGTATTTTCTCTCTGTCCACGTAATGGGGATAACAATACTTCCAATGTCATAAAAGTGTCACAGATTTCTATACTGAAGATTGCTGTGAGCACAGGACTCGAGGTCCTCTAAAAGTTAGTCCTTAAAGCATGATGTATGTTGTTTTTTTTTTTATTTTTTGTTGGTCATTTTATATATATTTCTTAGCAAACAAATGGTCAGCTGAATGTTTGAGTCATTTTGCATTCTAGTTACTAATTACTTATTGTTTTAAACTTTAGAAAATCCTTTGAGTTTGAGGATGCATCAAGTCTGCAATCCCTATACCCTCCCTCCCCAACTGAAAATGGGACTGAGAGCCAGCATAAATTTGGATCCAAGAGCACTTTAGAAGAAAATGCCTATGAAGACATTGTAGGTAAGAACCTGTTGCAGTACATGGGCCCACAGTGGGATGTTGAGCACTTGTGGTCAGACCGTTATTGTTGAACACATCCCTGTGCAAGAATGTTAAGTGCTGTCAGTAAAGAGAGATTAAATGGAGAGTAAATGGGTTTGATGCATCAGCATGAACATAATTCTCAGTCTGCATGCAGAAGGTCTTGATTCCTTTGGACTTCATTGGGGTGGTATTGGAAACAGACTGTTCGGTCAGCTTTTTGCCATGCTTTTCAAGAACCAAATCATTCTTTTTATCAAGGCCTTGGCTTGAAGCCTTCAGTGGTGTAAAAATGTAAAGAACTGATCTTAAGATACTGTTTACAGAACTATCCAATAGAAGGATTAACCTCACAGGCCTTGTGTCGTCAGCCTGAGCTTTTCAGGACTCCTGTGTGGACTGCCCCAAAGCAGCTGTTTGTAGCCCTGTTCCTCGTCTCCCCTAAGTCCCAGTTGCTGGTTAAGGAAAAATTAATTTCCTTTAGCTATACAGCTTTAGGAATGCACAACAAAAACACTGTTTTGATTAAGCTTCGCAAGAAAAACATGTTTCTTTTGGTCTTAGAAGGAAATGTATGGCCTATGCATACATTCTTTTAACATCAAAAAAATTGTTATAATTACCAAAAATTGGACAGCCCTTCAGAGCACAGATTTTCCACACAAGTGATGAATATCTGCATTGTTTTTAACTCTTTCAATGTTGTGTTATTACAGCAGATACAAAGGGTACTTCATTTTACTTTGGACAATGAATCTTTATCTACTGAAAACTGGAGGGCTACCAAGATAGTCAGGGGCCCTAGAGCAGACGTCCTCTGAAGAGACATGGACAAGCTGGGCTTGTTTAGTCTGGTAAAAAGAAGGACCGGAGGCACTCTAATACTGCTTACGAATGTTTGAAGGGCAAACAAAGATGATAGAACAAAACTCTTCTTGGTCATAGCAGTTGATACAGCAAGGAACAGTGGCCACAAGCTGCAGCTTGGGGCTCTTTGTCCTTGTACCCAAATTTTGTATCTGGCTTGTCAGCCTCAGTGAAAAGAGAAATTTACTCTTTCCATTTTCAGCCATATTCTCCCTCTATGTCATTCAAAAAAGTGCTTCCAGAACACAAAAAAATGCTGCTGTTCAGTGTCTGTTAATAAAAATGAGAGCTTATGTAGATACTAAAATGTTTCTTTCTGTGGAGAGCAACCTTATATATTCCACAGCCTTTTCCAGGAACAGTCAGCCCACCATGCAATTCACACTTGAAAATGTATTGCGCGTTAATTACAGTGCTCATCTTTGTTCAGGATCTGCCAACGTGCTGCCAGATGTTAGGTGATAATATTTCTTTTCCTTGCTTTGGCTTGTTAAATATCAAAGTAAAATGTGAAGGGCTGATAAGAAGCTTTCTTCAGAGGAGAATAAATCTTGGGTTCAGTAAAACAAAATCATAATGGACCCTTCCAACTCATGGGAACTATAAGACAGCTCTCTGCATATTATAATTTGGTCATTTTGGCAGGACAGTGGGAAGAGAACACAAAATTTCAGATCCGTGGGCACACACAGGACTTCATTGTTTTGTACTGCTTTTTAACAAGCTCTTTCCAAAGTACTTCATTCAATACAGGCAGTGCAGGGGGAATACCAAATCAGTATAATTCTTATAAACTGTCAAGAGTGATTAAAGACAAGCCAAAATAGTTTGATCTCTGGCTTTAAAGAGACTATCGTAGTTTTGTGTATCACATCTGCATAATTTATATCAGTAGTGCTAGACCCCAGTCTCTAAATAGAACTTTTGTACTCATGCAAACCAGGTGTCTGTAGGAGTGAGTTTATTTTATAGATTTACATCTGTTTCAAAGCTATAAAGGACTCTGTCGCTGATGCTTTATGTTTTCTTTGCAAACAGTTGCCCTAGATGCGATGGTGGGGTTTTAGTCTATACCTGGTTGAATGTCCTAAAAGTTTGTAGGTAGTTAAAACATTGTCACTGTAGTAATAAAGCATGTTGTCATCCACCCCCCCCAGTAGAATTAAGATGCTTAATGCAAGTAAGTGTTAAAACACAAGAAAAAAGGGTTGTGAACCTTGAGCAATGCTCTAAGCACTTTACTGTGAGACACAATAAAAAAAAATGTAGTTCAGGTTGGAAGGGACTCTGGAGTCAGCTGGATCAACCTCTGCTCAAAGCAGGGCTAGTTTCAAAGTCAGATCAGGTTGCCCAGGACTATGTCTGGTTGAGTTTTCAAAATATCTTAGGAGGATGGTTCCACTGCCTCTCTGTGCAGCCTGCTCCAGTGCTTAATCTTCACTGTAAAGAATTTTTTCTCAGTATCACTATGAAGAAATTTTTCTTTCTATCCAGTCAGAATTCTCCTTATTGCTATTTATGACTGTTATCCTTCATCCTTTCACCATGCACCTCCAAAAACCATCTGGGTCTGCCTTTTCCATAACCCCTTCTAGGCAGTGGAAGACAGCAGTTGGTTCCCCCCTAGACTTCCCTAGTCTGAACAGTCCCAGTTCTCTCAGCCTTTTCTTGTTTCTATTGTATGCTGCAGCCCCCAACCATCTTGGTAGCCTTGCTCTACACTATCTCCAGTCTGTTGGTGTCTCTCTGGTACTGTGAATACTCCAGGTGCAGCCTTGCAAGGGCCAAACAGAAGGGAATTACCCCTTCCCATGACTTGCTGGCCACACTTTTGCTAATGCAGGCCAAGGTGTGGTCAGCCTTCCTTACTGCAGCATGTACTATTGCAGGGTTGTTCTGACTCACATGTGGGACTGTATTTGTCTTTCCTAAAATTCCTGAATTTCCTGTTGAGCCATTCCTTCAGTTTGCTGAGGTCATCCGGAACAGAAGCCCAGGTCCTTTGTCTGTCACTGCGTTCCCCAACCTGCTGCCCCTCAGCAGGACATCTCTCCCTCATTGAAAAGCAGAAGAGAGCTGTGGATAAGTTGTGAATTATCTATCAGAGTGTATCTTCTAAAAAGCGTATTTAATGTTAGATATCTACAAAATACTGCGTGGGGTACTGAGTGTTCTCACTCAGACTAGTGCAATGATAAAAATACAGCTTCTAAGCACATAAGTGTTCGGACTAGTCATTGTTTTTTTGGTTACTACACGACCTTCTCATGTGATGCATATGCACATTAAACCTGTCTTTTCTCCTGGTGCCCTTACACTGTTTCCTTCTTTAATGACCAGGACAATGGTGAACTGCTATAGCTAGTTTGTTATTTTTGAGACCTGACTTAAAAAACAAAAAACAAAACCGGTTTTAGGATACATTAAAACAAAAAATGATTGTGCTTTGAAATCCAGTGTCATCATGAACCAGATACTTTGTTTAATTTTGTAATATTTTTGTACACTTTAATAGATGAAGTACCTGCATGTTAAGTTCAAGACAGGTATTGGATTGGAACATAATGATCCGTTCTGCATTAATCAAGAAGCAGTTTTATAAAGGCGTGCACATTCCTAGTACTAATCAGAGCTGTATTCCATGTGCAAGGAACCATGTGGACTTCATTCATCTTCTGTACTTGCACTCACAGGAATGTGGCAGTCATAGTATAAACTTAACATTGTTTTGCTTCTTGTGGTTTTGAATGAGTCTTTAATCAGACCAAAATTGATGTGGCTTTATGAATCCAGTTGGGGAAACCATGTTTGGCTTTGTGCAAATTCAAGAAACTATCTTAACATTAAGAGATGTCTGAGACAGTTGCTTCTGCTGTGTTTGTGGAGAACAGTATTTCCTGTCATATGTACCATACGGTTTCAGTTTTCCAGTCTGTTTCCCTAAATGCAGTTGATATATTTGAATATTGTTATTCAAGGTCTGGTGTCTCTGAGGCATTTTTCACCTGACATCTAGAAGAAAGTACTTGTTATCATCACCAAAAAAGATTGAATGAGTAAAGTAAAGGCAAGGTTAAGGGAACAATATTAAGTTTAACTTGAGAAAATCTAGTAAAGCCATGTAAATTATAGTTAGTGTTTGTAACAGAAATAGCACTCAATTCAGAAATTAAATACAGTGAAAGAAATCTTTGACAAGGCAAATCTTTTTACTCTGTAACTCCTCAGAGTGCTGGAGACAATAGGAGAGGTGGAGATTTCCTCTAAGAGGACACTACATAGATGTGTGGGAGACCCATTGCTCAGCTGAGCTGTGTGTGTTGCATCGTAGAGAATGTTTCATTTGACGTCACACAATTCCATTTGCCCTGTCCAAGCAAGAGCCGTTTGCTCTTAGAGCTGCCTGGCCCTCATTTAAAAAACGACAAAAGGAGGCAAACAGCAGGACTGAGACAGTTGAAGGAGAAGCAGCTGCTGACAGCTACTGTGTCTGCTTTGACAGCTAGAGCTGAAACAGTCTAGAAAGTAAAGCAATACCCCAGAAACATTGCTGTGGGATCTCTAAACCCAGCATTGATTTCTGATCTTGCCGGTGGGCTCCTGTTGGGACTGTCCTGCAGTCCGTGGTCCCAGGGGCAGATAGCCCTCCTGAGGAGGGTTTCTTATTCACCTTTCTTCTCTCCGGTCCTGTTCAGTGTCACATTTAGGAGATTTTGAGCCCTTTCAATAGCTGGGTACTTCTCTTGACCAATATTTTTTTTTTTGTTTGTTTCACCTTAAGAGGAGTTAGATCCTGATGCTAGCAACTTTATCACTGTGCTTCCATGGAGTATATAGTTGAACCTTGTTACAGTTGACACCCAACGCTACTGAAAAGTGAAACAGTGTAGTTATACACAACTGTTTAGAAGTTTTCCTCAGTCAGTTTGAGAAGAATCAGCTTCTTGTTTATTTCTGCACTATAACAGGACAACTAGTTCTGGGTTTGCATGGGTCGTCTTCACAGTCAGAGAGTTGAGTTACAAATAAATCATTATAAAGCCCCAAACCTGTCAGATTGGTACCAGGCCTAGAAAAGTATTGGGGGTTTTTTGGAGCAAAATCATATCCAT